TTCGTCTGCCTGATTGCTCTGGCCAGTGTTTCGAGGACTATGTTGAACAGAAGTGGTGAGAGAGGGCATCCCTGTCTTGTACCAGATCTTAGAGGGAATGCCTTCAATTTTTCTCCATTCAGAATGATGCTGGCCTGTGGCTTATTTTTTGAAAAGTTTTTGGAAGTTAATTTTTGAAGCAGAGAATCATGAAAACTGTTTTATTTTAACTAGGCTTTTAAAGTTGAATAAAACAAAATGTTTTTCAGTTAATGTACGCAAAAATTTTACAGTGTACTTTCACTGGTACCTGATAATAAAACTACTGTATGTGTAGTGTTATGCTTTTCAGATCCTTTCAGAATTGTCAAGGCAATAAGTATAATTTAAAATATCTATCTGTATTCTGGTTTTATAAGATGTAAGTATTCTTTTGAAGATGCTTTCTTGGATTGTGATGATATATGAAATTTCTTTATAGTTGTCTTATTTTGATTTCTTGATCTCTACTAAAATGTAAAAAAATTGTGTATATTGCTTTTGTGCACACGCACATATATATCTCTTTTGGGTGAAATGGAATAACAACAATCAAAAACAAATGTTGTACCCTGTTTTTAGTTTATAATTTTATATGAAGTTGCTTACTTTATCTCCTGTGTCCTTTGTTGGTGTACTAGTACAAAATTGAAAGTGTATACTAGAGTTAAATTCTATTATAATCATATTAAATTAAGCTTTTTATTAGACCATACCTTAATTTGAATGATATTCATTTGCTTCTTTTTCTCATTTAATGAAAATCTCCAATGGGTATTGTTATTCTCCAGCTCAGTTTCCTGTTACTGTCTTTAAGCTGACTATGCTTTATCTTTCTGTGTGTGAGCTTGTGTATTTGCATTGCATACTATTATTTTAAATAGTAAATACAGTAGATTTCAGAAAATACCTTTTGTCTTATTCATAAATTTAATCATGTAAACAATGAAATAATTCAACTTTTTAATTATGTCTCTAATAATAGACAGTAAATTATAAATGGAAAAAGAGTTTCAGCTCTTTGGGCCTAGAAGTATATGTTGTTGTAACAGCTTCTAGCTGATAATTAAGTCATTTACTTACCAAACAAATCCAATAATTTGTATTACTCTGGACTAAATCTACTCATTGACCATGTTTCAACTTCCTGTCTTATCTCCTGCCTCTCTCTTTTTTACTTTGCTCTGCATGCCATCATGGCCTTCTTGCTGTTTCATTAGCATGCCAAGTACATTTCTTAATACTTTCATTGATAACACTGCCCAGGTCTATAGTTCCTCAAATCTTATTTAGACTACCTCTATTAGGATAATCAGGTCTGTTTAAATATCCAATCAGAGATGTGTTTTTTGTGTGTGTGTGTGTGTGTGTGTGTGTGTTTTTACTCCTCTCTCTATAGTAATCCTAATCATTCTCTGTTTTTATTTTCTGCTATATTTTTTTTTCTTATAGCATTCATCATTACCTGATATCTTTTTTTCTGTTTTGTACATTTCATAGTAAATATATAAGCTTCCTGTGAGCGGGATTTGTTTTACTACTGCATTTCCAACACATAGAATTTTAACAGATGCACAATAGGCATTGTATAAATATTTGTAGTTAGAGTGAGTGAATGGATGAATTAAATATAAAGAAAAGTTATCAGTTCTTATGGCTAAGCCCTTGGCTAACTCTTCAGGATTCTTTTTTCTTTTAATTCTCTTATATACCTAGCATTTCTGTTCCAGCATGGCTCCTTTGTTGGGATTTGTGGTGAATTTTAAATAAGCTCTATTATTGTACAAAAAGCTTCTAAACTTGTTATTATCCTTTAAAGGTAGAGAAAGAGGGAAAGGGGAAAAATGATATACATGGTATTTAAATTTGTCTTTTATGATGTATAACTAAATTTAATATTTGTTTCAAATTGTTTTTATCTTCAATAATTTAAAAATGTGGTAGCAATTGTTCAAGGTTGTAGATTTACATTGATCTTATTTGTTTCTATATATCTGTTTCTACCCTACCTCAACTTTATTTAAGAATCCAACTCAAGTTGGAACAGCTCTTCAGGTTTTCCATAATCTTGGGACTTTGAAGGATACTATTACCAGTGTTGTGGATGGATATTGTGCTGCTTTGGAAGAAAATATCAACAGTGCATTAGACATCAAAGTTTTGACTCAGCCTTCACAGTCAGCTGTGAGAGGTATGGATATACTTTATATTTAGCTTCTTTATTTATTTATAACTGAGAAGTCCTTTGAATAGTATGTGAAACATTCATGTTTCAAAGCAATCTAATGACTCATTTTTTTAGTAGACAGAAAATGAGAGAGAAATTATGTTTCAGAATTTATTTATAAATTTTTTTGTCTAATCAGTGAGTTGTGGCCAATTGGTACATTCAGAACTAGATAAAGATCTCTAAACTATGGCATCATTTAGTTGAGAGGAAACAGATGCAAAAAAAAAAAAAAGAACATATTTTTCTTCTGAAGTCCTTATCCTTATCCTCACATGTACTTCTTATTGAGTAAGAAAATATTTTTTAAAAATCTGCTATCTCTACTTTAGCTTTCTGGACTTTTCCTTATTGTAATTCTTATACTCAGGAGCAATAATGGCTGATGGAATAGAAACTGATAAAATTTGGGGGGAAATTATAACCATAGCAAAGTCTAAAGGAAACTGCTGAAAGAAGGTGCATTCAAGGTAGAGAGGAGTCTGCACCTCTTCCTGCCAAGGTGAATGGATAGCATTCACACTTCTCCACAAAGGGGAGAAAAGAGCATATATTATGTGCACATCTCATTTACTTCCTCCATCTCTCTTCTTACGTTTTTTTTTCTTTCTGTCCTGTTAGTATGGATGAGATATACCTTGCTTCTAGCAAAGGCCACTCTGCTTTTACATTAAATTCCATAATTCCAGGATATTGCTTTAGCACATATCTTCTCCCTATCTTTTCTCTATTTTCTTCTCTTCATCTCTTTTTCATCACATACAGTTATCCTGCCATATCTCCTACTTAAACATAGTCATATCTATCATGACTGCATTTCTTTCTTCAGCTGAACTATCCTGTTTTATTTCATTAGCCTACAGAAAAACTTTCAAAATTTTTATGTGTACTTACTGTTGCAGTTTTTCTCTTCCCATTTTCTAAGTGAAGGCATGCTAATCATCACAGAGTTATCCTCAAGAATAAATAATCTATGCAGAATTAATAACAGTTCCTGATTCCTGGCTAATATTAAAAACTTGCAGGCATTTATTGTTTTTTATATATTTGGTATATAATATGACCTCATAAATATGTTGCACTGGATAAAAAGAGATAAAAGAATTGTAGGTCTCAGAGATTTATAAAGGTTAGCTTCTGAGTAGGTCATATTAAGACTATTCCAGAATATCCTTGAAAATATATTGCCATAGGAGATTTTACTCTCAACTTTTTCTAGCAATTATTATCAGAAAGTTTGATCTAACATTTAAATTTCTAGGAGCAGTTTTATCTCATTCCCTCTTATGTTGTCAAGAAAAGGGAAAAAAATTAAAGCAGTTATTCACATCTGTCAATCTTAATGTAGGCCTTTTTTGTCGAAAGAATAAAGAGTCTTAAAACTGCCTTCCTATCATCTGTTAAGGAGTGGATTCCTGAATTTCATGTAGAAATCTTAAGCTTCAATTCTTTGTTTCAATATGTTTTAAAAGGAATAATCCTTATTACTTATAATTTTTAATGCCACATAGACAGTATTAATGTTAGTTTTCTCTTGAAGATTAGATTAAGGTTAGGTGAGAATATATTCATTAAAATGTTCAAGGATGATGGGGCCACCATATCAATAAATTTACTTGCAAATGGTTCAGGGAATTTTTTTCTCTCTTTTCTTTTCTCTTTCTTTCTTTCTTTTTTTTTTTTGCAATACTTGTACATTTTCTACAAATTTAAGATTGTTTTAAAGTTTAAAAAATATGTAAAATACAATTTTAAGGAAAATAATGTGAACTTGAACGTATAAAAATCTATAATTCAATAAGAAAAAGCTAACTCAATGAAAAGTTGATAAAGACTATGAATGGGCAGTTCATGTCAATATATTCATTAAACATATGAAAAATGGTTAACCTTTTTTTTTTTTWAAAGAGAGAGAGAGAGAGAGAATTTTAATTTTTTTTTTTTTTTAGGTATCGGCAGATACAACATCTTTGTTTGTATGTGGTGCTGAGGATCGAACCTGGGCCGCACGCATGCCAGGAGAGCGCGCTACCGCTTGAGCCACATCCCCAGCCCCTTAACCTTTTTTGAAGCATATGATCTCTTTGTAAGGCAAATAAAGATACAGAAGCAGGGCAGAGACTCTCACGCAAAGACTCTTGCCGTAATTAAACTTCTCTGCCTTAATTAAGCTTCTCCTCTTGTCAGAAAGATTTTTACAAAGTATCAGCAAGATGTCTATAGAGAGAATTGTGGTTTGCATCTTCCTCTTTCTTGTAAATGCCAGCTTTGCACACAAACAGTGTGATACAGGGGCTGGGGCAGCGCAATTGCTTGGCATGTCTGAGGCACTGGGTTTGATTCTCAGCACCACATATAAATAAATAAAGGTCTATCAACAAGGTAAAAATAACCTTTACTTTCCTTTTGCATTTATATTTAACTAAAGTTTTTAAAAAATTTTTTTTAAAAAAGGTGTGGTAGAGTTAGAATCTACAGTCAAGCTTGTTGTACAAAAAGATATTATCCCTGTTTTCTTGGTAAAAAAAAATTATAAAACCGGGCTGGGGATGTGGCTCAAGCGGTAATGTGCTTGCCTGACATGCATGGGGCGCTGGGTTGGATCCTCAGCACCACATAAAATAAAGATGTTGTGTCCACCAAAAACTGAAAAATAAATATTAAAAAATTCTCTCTCTCTCTCTCTCTTCTCTCTCTTAAAAAAAAATATATATATATATATATATCTGGCCTAAAATGCACTTTCTGAGAACACAAAGAAAAAAATCAATTACTTTAATGTAAAACCTCCATGTCCTTCCTTCCAGTGAGTATAAAGGTCAAAGAATTTTAAAAATCTTCATTTAGAGGAAGAATTTTTTAGGCTGTAGCCCCCTCTGGACTCTGCAGTCTATAAACTTGCTTCGTGAAAATTTCTTGGGTGTCCAGCCCCTTCTGTCCTACTTTAATACTATTTCCCAATCTTCTGATTGTCAAAATCTAAGATAGCTGTGTTATATGACTGCAGAAACTCATACCTTTATTGTAACAAATGTTTCAACCAGTTAATATGAGGTTAAAAATTGTGTATTCTTCATGACCTTTTAATTTCTTTTATAAGACTGTATCTAAGACAAATTTTCATATATGTATAAGGATTTTTATTGTACTATTGCATATAGTGGTAACAAGGTAAATATAATCTTTCCTTTCATGGAAAAATGAGCAAATAATTTATTAAATGATTTTGTAGCCAGCACTTAAATATAAAATTATAATTCTCAAAAACAGAACAGGAAAAAGTAAGTTTCAGAATTATATATGTATATAAAATATGATACCATATCTAAAGCTTCAGAAGAATACAACAGACTATAATATATATTGTTTTGCATATGTAATAAAAATATAAATACATCTAATGATGATCACCAATTTTAAGATTTACTTTGGAGAGAGAGCAAGGAAAGTAGGATCAGGAACGGAGAGAACCAGGAAGCGTCACTTCATATGATCTTGTATTTCTTGAGCTTGGTGACTAATATTTGTAAAATTATTCTGTATTTTTTTCTTTCTTTTTTGTACCATGGATTGAACCCAGGGGTGCTTTACCATTGAACTATATGTCTAGCTCTTTTTTATTTTTTATTTGAGACAGGGTGTCTCGGGGGCTGGTTTTGAAATTGTGATCCTCCTGCCTCAGCCTCCTGAGCTGCTGGGATTATAGGCATACACTACTGTGCCCGGCTCTATATACTTTTTTGTCTGCATGAAATATTTATTAGTTTTGAATGATTGGTGCCTTTTTCATTTCCTTCTTTGTGCTTTTAAATGATTTGATTTTCATCTCGTTCTTGTTAGTATTACTTTTCCATTTCTACATTTATAATTCCCTTGCCTGGATTTTATAATAAATTGGTCTCCCCCCCAAATTTTTATGCGTTCTTTGATTTCTCAGTTTTTGCATAGAAGATGGAGTCTTTTGCCTTTATATTTAACTAATTTGGGCAAGTATATATTCTTATTTTCACTTTTACTTAGAATTTTGTAGCTGTTTGTGGACCCCAAAATAATGTTTCTCTTTCCTATTGAATTTGAAAACAACTAAAATACAGATGTAGGGAACAAAAGGATGATAATTAAAATGTTGGCTTTATTACTGATTTAAAAAACAAAAACATGATGACAACAATAAAAAACAAACAATCTTGAATTGAAGGGCATAGCTTAGCTTTGAAACAAAATGAATTTCTTAATACAGCAACTCCAAATGAAACTTACTCCCCAATATTAGCCTGCCCTGCTGTACTTACCACTGATGGAGTGCAAGTCAGAATGCACCATTTATGCACAACAAGAGAGAAAGGAAGGGAATGAGTCAATTAGGTTCCATTTTATTAATCAGGTAAGTGGCTCCTTTTTACATGGGAATGATGGAATAAGAGGTAGGAAAAGAAGGCAAGAATGTTCTTTTAATTGAAGTTCCCCCATATGAAAGACAAGGCCAGGGAAATGGAGGGTTCCCTCAAATATTAGACATGGCTCTACCGACTGCTAGGTTCAGGTGTTCATATTAGAGAATTTTCAGGCTAATCAGATTATTATACCACACATAGTATAACTTGCTTCTTCATGGATGTTCAGTGTTTCTCCCCCCCCCTTGTCTTTGAATTTTAGTAACATTTTATGGATATATTTTAGGGTTAAATGCCCTGTATCAGTTTTTTTTTTTTCCGGGAGTATATATTCCCTTTTATAGAGAAGTTTATCCTATTAAATATTGTTTGTTGTTGTTGTTGTTCCATTTGTTTTTCCCCAGGAACTTTAATTATGCATGTATTAGATCTTTGTTTTCTATGTCTGGTATCTTCTCTATAGTTGCTTTTGTGTCTTCATATTTCATTTTGAATGATTTCCTCTTTTCTGTTTTCCATGGTTTACTGTGTTTCCACCTTTGTTCATTATGTTTGTTTGTTTCTTTGTTT